AATCAAAAATTTTGCTTTTTTAGTTAAAAAAATAAAAATTATCTAATCTTGAAGTTAATTTTCAAGTTTTAGATAATTGGCTATCCAATAAACATATCATTTCAGGAAATTTGGCACTATGCATAGTAATTTATAAAATAATAATACATGAAGTTATTTTAACAATCATTTTTCCGTTCGATTAATTAAAAAAATGGCAACTACACCCAAATGCAATTTATATCAATCGAATCTTTAACAGGAAATTGATTTCAATTGCGACTGTATAACAAGAAAGGGACTAGTATTTATAATATATGTACATGTATATCACTTTCTTAAATTATTCAATTTTGAAAGCTTAAAAAAATAATTAATTTTTTTAAATTATGTAATTTTTTCACTTTGAATTTTTAATATCTCAAAATTTTTACACGATCTTTACAATTTCTTAAAAATGTATATTTATACTTAAAAATTGTATTAAAGAAGCGAAATAAATAACTTAATGCCAAAGTTTTTTTAATAAAAATTTCAAATCATTTGATTAGTAATTGAAAGGTTTTTATATATTTGTAAACCATCAAATAGAGAAATTTCAGAGTTATTGATAAATATTCATACAGTTTCGGTGACAAGTTTATAAAAAATTTCGATCTGACAAAATTAGTTCACAAAAGCTGTGTTATAGAAACTTCTCAATTATTCATATCCGATGTCGGCGAATTTATCGTTCGATTGCTACTTACGATAACATCATATACAGAATTTGGCAGTAAATTACTGCGCAAAAAGGCAATAAGCTGGCCATGCTAATCACTATTATCGAAAAACGATAATGCTGTGCATTCAGAATAATTTTCGTTCACATGTTTTTAGAAATATAATGATAAATGGAGACTAAATTTAAAAATTGAATTATGATTCAACAAAACATACAATAATCGCAAACTTTTAATGAGACAAAAAATATATATTAAGTTGTTAATACCATATAGATTTAAGAAAATAATTTCTTAAATCGTAGCAAAGGATAAAAATGGTGTAAATAATATAATAAATTCTAATACAATTTACACCATTTTTATTGCACCCATCTTATATACTTTGAATTCTGTATTTATTTTTATAGAAGACACTCAAAAAATGTATTATGCACTTGGTGGAATAAAGTCACCGGACACTTTTTTCGCGAAATAATAGTGGTAAAACTAATGAAAAAACTTGTATTAGTGTTCTAAGTATATATTTAACATATTCTGTTCTAAATATATATTCAACATATTTTGTTCTAAGTATATATTCAACATATTCCGAAATAGGTTATATTAGATTTTTAAGTCTTTTAATCATTCACTAAAAATTTATAGTAGCATATGATATTTCAAAAAAACCAATAATTTGCATGAAAAAAGTATATCATTACAATTTTATTGGTAACACAAAGATTAATGAAAAATTATGCTTTTATATTTTAAGCTTGTAGTTTTAAAATGGTTTGAAGTTTGTAATAATAAAATTTCAATTTTTTTATTACTGTCTGAAAAGTTATAACTAACATACAAATGCATAGATAAATGACCTGGACATAATTAGTAAGTAAATAACGCAGTAAATAATGAAAAAATAATAAAAAATTCATATAGTTGTTCTATGCTTATAGATTCAAAATATTCTGAAATATGCAATGTTAAATCTTCAAGTTTTTTCAATCACTCTTTAAAAAATTATATCTAAAATAAATTAAAATATTAAATTTCAACAAATTTTAATAATAGATTTTATACTTCATAAAAAATGGCGAGGAAATTAATAAAAAAATATGCTTGATGTTATAATTGAATAAATGTCACATATTCTAAAGTATGTTATACTAAAATTTCTAGTTTTTTTAATTATAATTAATAAAATTATAGTGAAAATATTTTTGCACAGAAAAAATATATTTTGAAATATAATATTTTAATATATTTCACCATATCTTTTTGAAGAGCAATTATAAAAATTTGAAATTTTAATAATAATATATATTCACCAAAAATTAAAATATTTTTAAAAAAAGTTGATTAATATTATAATTTTGCTAATAAAATTTTAACTTTAATTATTGACAAAAAATTTTTTCTTTCCAGAAATATATAGAATTGATTATATAATAAATCAAATATTTTGAGTAATTTATAAATAAATTTTAGATTATTTTGATTTAAAATATGCTATATTTTTATTTTAGCTTAGAAAATAAAACAGGTCAAAAATGATTTTAGCAGATAATTTTTCCTGTTAGATGATTTAAGAGATAACATACTACAGGAAATTTCAAATTTATGTATTTAGAACACTAATACAAGTTGTTTCATTAGTTTTTTCACTATTAATTCGCAAAAAAAGTATTCGATAACTTTATTTCACTGAGTGTATCAGTTGCTACACCTGAAGTTTCTAATGGAAAATTTTTCCATTTTGTTTTAATCCGTAATAATATCTAATTTTTATAATCCAATATAAATTCTAATTTTTATATTTTATTATATATAAAGCAATAACACATATTTTTATTTTTATCTTTTTGGTTTCAAGATAAACTTACTATAAAATATTAAATCACACTTCAAAATTAAAAGATTATCCAAGATTTGATGATAATTTTCAGAATATTTCTTATAAAATCTGCGAAGATAGCTTTTGAATATGTAAATCTTTTATATTGATTATACCGTTATAAGATATTATAAATACTTTTAGATTGACAAAATTTATATGGAGCTGTAATCTAATTTAAAGATTTAGAATTAAAAATGAGAACTAAGTTAGTGGATAAAACAAAGAAAACAGCTTGCAATTTCTAAAACTATAACCAAATAAATCTATATTTTATTGAACAGTAGATAAATTTATTCCTATTAAACTTGCATTATTTCCTTGTCGATTATTTTTAGTATATGTGATTTTATTGAAAAACTTTTAATTTCTATAAAAAATAGTAAGCTTTAAATATCACGAATAATTTTATTTGTCTCTTTTGAAACAGTAAAAAAAAGCAAAATGTCAAAGAATGGTTCGTCAAGTTTGATAATCCATCTTGAAATAGCATTTGTAAACTTTATAATTGTAATAAAAAAGTTTGGTATGTTAAATATGTGAAAGAAAAAATAATATTTTTGAAAGTCTTTTCAGAAGAAGAGTTCATTCTTGATTAAAGTGGATTTAGAGGTATTTGTGCCACTTATGTAATATCAAGAGAAAATCAAAAAGTAGCTTTAATTATGAGCTCACTTAAACATAATAAACAAACTAATTAAGAATTTATCACTCTTAAAGTCATTATATTCAGTGATTTTTATTATATTAAACAGTGTAAGTCACTTAGTCACTACGTTATTAGTCAAATTTTAGTTGTATATCAATAATATCAATATTAAATCAAGTATTGATATTTACTAATTTTACTGAAACTCAAAAAGAAAGGGAATTCTGATATATTTATTTCAGATTTCACCAGGGTGATCCTGAAAAGTTCGGACCACGTGATATTATAGATCTTCTGACCCATCAGTTCCGATCCATCAGGGTGATGATTATTGACTATAGAATATTCATACAAGTCTTATCATACCAATAAAAGAAAGAATATAACGAGATTGTGCTGGATTTGTTCAGAGTTTATATTGCTCTGAATATTTTGCATTGGTGAAGAATCTGCTGGGTTTATTCAAGCAATTATTTCAGTCGTGTCAGAGCTTATACCATCTCAAATATTTCATATTGGTGGAGATGTTCATTCATTTTGAGTATTAAACTAAGTTTGCGAGGTGATGAAAGAAAAATTGTGATGAATCTGCTGGGTTTATTCAAGTAATTATTTCAGTCATGTTAAAACTTATATCGTACTGAATATTTTGTTGGTGAAGAGACTTCTTTAGCTTGAGCATTAAACTAAATTTGTGAGGTGATGAAAGAATGTGACAAATTTCTGTTGGATTTATTCAAGTAATTATTTCAGTCATATCAAAGCTTATATCATCTTGAATCATTCAGTTTAGTATTCCTTCAGTTAGATATTTTGAAGTAAGTTTCTATTGATTTGACTATTTCTATTAATTTGATTATTTCTATTGGTTTAAATATATTAAAGTAAATTTACTTATTTTTTTTTACAAAAAATTAAAACTAGTGACAAATTATACAGTGATTAAATAAAGTCTCTAATAGAATTCTAGAATTCAACTTAAAAACTTAAGTACTAAACATTAGAAGCTCTGAGATTCTTTAATACAGTAATAATCAAAATTTTACTTGTGCTGAAGTAGTAATTTTCCAAATCAAATACCCTTCTTATAATATTATAATATGTGTATTCTATATATAATATAATGAACTTAGCTTTTATTTATTAATTGATGGAGTTACATTTAATGAAACAAATATATTCTATATATAATATAATAAACTTAGCTTTCATTTGTTAATTAATCCAGTCATATTTAACAAAATGCTAAAAAAAACAGTTAAATTATTTAAAGATTCTTGTTATTTTAATGAATAAAAATTCATATATCTTTGATCTCTGATAATTCTTGAATATTGATATTTTAAATCTCACTATTTTTTTCATGTTCTGTTTCTTTAGTGAGTTACTATATATAAACTAAAACATAAAATTTAGAATCTCAATTAGTTAAATACCATAAAAAACATCTTAATTTATTAGATAAAATATGCTATAGATTAGTAAGTTTGATCAAGATTAATAAAGATAACTCAAGTACTTAATAATGTCTTATATATAACCTTATTCCCAAATTAATATCATCATGTGATCTGAGATATATTGCAGCACGTAACTCTGCACAGACCTGTTCGATACCTAAATCTCTATATCACAAACAGATCTGTTAATAATGATGTTCTGCACTAAATGCAAATACAATCACTCTGATGATCAATTTATTTGGGATAGTCTATATTACAAGACATGCAAGAGGTGTAAAGAAATCTGTGACTGAAAGAATAAAGAGCACATGTTACCAGCTAGAATCGCAGAGGAAATATTGGAAGAGTCTAATAAGGAAAAAAATAACATCAATGATATTATTCACACTATAACTATAACAGAATACTCAAACTCAAAGGTAGAGCATATTAGTAATACTTTACAGATTGAAGTTGATTATCTTGATATGGGAAACTTAATCGAGCATGAGATCTGAGAGCTGACAGTTGGTGAATCTATTAATAAAATAACTAATATATCTTATAAGACTCATCTACTAGTACATTCAGACATTGTCATTATTCAGAATAAGACAGCAAAGGAGATGGCTGATCTTATTATTATTAAAGTTGAAGATAAAGATGACTATTCGTGGAAGTAAGTAATATCACATTGTGAAATTTGTTAGATTATTACTAACTCAGTATATATAATTATTAAAGTTTTTAAAATGTGAATATATCAAGAAAATTCAAAAATACAGTTGGTCATTTTCTTTATATATGTTATCAATTGAAAGAGACACAGAGTAAAGAATATAAAGATTCCAATCACAAATGAAGAATGCGTTATGATTACAGAGATAAAATTATAGTATGAGTCAATATAATTCTTAATATTACAAGAGTGAATATCTATCATGAATCTCTCCATTTGCATCCAAACCTTTGCATTAAGATGCCTGATGAACTATAATAAGAGATCAAAACACACTCACATCTTACTGTAATAAACTTTAAAAATCACCTTCAACGTCAAAGATATGATATATTGAAATACTTATCCAAGCGTATTTACTTCTGAAAGTCTATAGCAAACCAAAAGCTATTCCAATGTTATGATGATCATATTGAATTTGCATGCAAGTTACTCACTGAACACAACAATCATGACTTCCATTAGTGTTTAGATATAAGAAATTCAGAGACCACAGCTATTGGTTTTACCATGTAAATTTGTTTATTCATTATTGTACTTATCTGTTTTTTTTCAATATCATTATTTCTTGTAAAAAAAATAGTATATTAAATAACAATAAGACATAATAATTAATCTCAAATAATTCGCCTTCATATCTAAACCGAATAATTGCTTAAATAAATCCAGCAGATTCATCGCATTCTTTTTTTCATCACCTCGCAAACTTAGTTTAATGCTCAAGCTGAAGGAGCCTCTCCACCAACACAAAATATTCGGGATGGTATAAGCTCTGACATGACTGAAATAATTGCTTGAATAAACCCAGCAGATTCTCCACCAACACAAAATATTCAGGGCAATGAAACTCTGAACAAACCCAGCAAAATCTCATTATATTCTTTCTTTCATTGGCATGATAAGACTTGTATGAATATTCCATAGTCGATAATCGTCACCCTGATGGATCGGAACTGATGGGTCGGAAGATCTACGATATCACGTGGCCCGAACTTTTCAGGGTCGCCTTGGTGGAGTCTTTATTCCATGAATCTGACAAACAAAATACCGAAAGGACAGCATCCTGAATGCACGAAATCGTGAAAGTACAAACTGTGTTTGAGTTCACGCATATCGATATATTTTTATTTTATTCAATTACAAATACATTAACTTAATATTATCGGTAGTAATTTATTGCAGTTTTACATTACATAAATGCTCTTGAATTCTAAAATTTCGAATACTCGTCATTGTAGTGAATGTGTTTTTTATCGGGTACGGGATTACTACAATAAGTGTAGTAAATGTACTCGTTGTCATTTGAATATCATAAATCTTTCTATTAAAAGAATGAACAATGATACAACGTCGTTTGAAGTCAACAAGTACAATTCTTAGTCATATGCTACAATAGTTACAATGAAAAAATGAGAAATCTAAATTTTTGGAAAAACTACATAACATGATATTGAATTTCTAATTGGTTCGCCGCAAGTTACACTAATAATTCCTGATACTGAAATGCCACATACACGACACGCATAGTAACGCGTGAAATCCAAAAGAAAGAAATTTTTTTTTGGTTATGTTACATTCTTTTCTACAATAAGATTTCGACAAAAGATTTTATCCTCATACAACAACAGTTAACTCGCCCTAAATGCAACCTCCATAAATACACGCACACGCTCTTCTTAAAAATTGCGCTAGTTTTCTATCTCCATCTCTTATCTACAGGAATACAAATTTTGAATTCATATTTCATGCTTGTTCTCTCTCTTTAAATTATTTAGTTCAAAGTTAAATATATCCATAGATGAGTTAAATTTAAAATAATTTCTAAATAAAATATTGAATAAGATAAATCAAAAGTACGAAAATATAAAAACAGTTTCTAAAAGCAAATTACAAAATAAATGAAAATCTAAAAAAGAGCGGAAAAAATTTATTTATATCTAGGAATTGCATCAATTCGCTTTTTGCATCAATACTACCATTTTTAACTGCAGATTTATACCATGTTATAGCTTTCTTAATATCTTTAGAAACACTGATTCCTTCTTCGTAACATATATCGAGATTAAATTGTCCTGTTGCGTTTCCACCCTCTGCTGATTTCAAATACCACTCAAATGCTTTTGTCTCGTCTTTTTGAGTTCCTATACCTTAATAATAATGTTCACCAAGATTAACTTGTCCAACAAGATTTCCACCCTTTGCTGATTTCAAATACCACACAAATGCTTTTTCTCATCTTTTTGCGTTCCGATTCCATTTTGGTAACAAAAACCAAGGTTACATTGTCCTTGTGCGGTTCCACCCTCTGCTGATTTCAAATACCACTCAAATGCTTTTTTCTCATCTTTTTGTGTAACGATTCCATTTTAATAGGCATATCCTAAAAAAAATTGGGCTGAAGCGTTATTATTGTTTGATAACTCTGCATAAATGCTTAATGCCAACGCAGGATTCTTTTCAACTATGAATCCAGTTTGATAAAGAATTCCAAAAAGTAGCTTATGTTGAGTATTATTTTCCGAATAGTCCTGAATTTCAAAAGAATGATGACTATATAGGTCGTCGTAATACGATTGTAGTTCGTCACCTATTTTATCTAAATTCTCTTCTTTGCTGAGTAAATTATTTAATAGAGTTACTAATTCGTCATTAATTTTGTAGTAAATTTCTCTGTTTTCATCTCCAGCGGCAAACTCTTCATCCGTATTAAAATCTGGCTCTGGTGAATTTTGAAACACCGAATCGTTTGATTCTGGTGGCCACTCGAGTTCATTAAGTTGTTGATTTACTTCATAAATATCTGGTCGATTGAGGTAAATTGTCCCAACATGCTTGATATAATTTAATGTATTTATCAGGAGTTCCGTGAATCGGTTTTTCTTTCTCGTTAGAGGCAAATAAAAACTGATTTGGAATACTACCGCTAGAAATAACCCATAATAAAACACCTAGACTATAAATATCTGATTTTTTGTTGCGTAGATAATTGTCCATATCTCTCAAGAATGCGGGATCAATATAACTTAATACTCCGCAATTATTATTTGAATTTGAATCTTCGTTCGAAAGTTTCGAACATCCCAAATCCGCAATTTTAATTTTTCCCTTGTGGATGAGAATATTATTATGATTCTGGCATTAATAATTTTTTTTAATTAGCACAGGTTTTTATTTAATATTCATTACATGCAATACCTTACCAAATCACGATGAATGATATCTGCGTTATGTATACTTCTTAATCCTTGTACAAGTTGCTTGGCTAAGTTCAACTTGTCGTTACCAGTCAGGTTAAAAAAATTTGTGTTAAAATATTTTTTAAGAGTTCCGCCATCTGCATACTTCATAACAATCATGTATTTTTTCGCATGTAAATCTAAGTTAAAAGTCATTTTGAGAAAATTATTCAATTATGAAGATACAACTTCATATAATTTACCTTTAGTGATTCCGTAAAAGCGAATTATATTTTTATTATGGTTAAGCTTAATAAGAATTTTCAACTAAGAAAATGTAATAAAACGTGAATCTTGTAAGTCATTAATTATTGGTTTCTTCTAAATATGATAAATAATACCTCTTTAATTAATTTCTTATTTGTTGCTTCGGCATGTTTCTCATCACTTAGGTAAAGACATTTTAAAGCCACATTCAAATCTTCATTTTCCACTTCTGCTTTATAAACTTCACCAAACGCTCCAAATCCAATGACTTTTTTATTGGAAAATTTATTAAAATCGAAAAATTTTATTTGATTTTCTTTTATTGAAGATTCTATCCATTCATTTCCGGTAAATTGCATTTTTACATTCACATCTGACATCTCATTGATTTAGTATCGTTAGCAGTTGGAAAAAATTGTTAAATACGTTTTAACGTATAGCACGTGTATATGTCGTACGATACGTAATGGTTTCATAATACATGTACATGTATGAAATCGATAGATTTTATAAATTAAATTTAACCAAAATTTAATCATCAATGGGATAAATGCGACGGATTAAATTTTGAATTTACTTCCCAGTAAATTTATTGAGGAGTTTAGATGTTGGCAACTGGACAACCGGACTTAAAAAAAAACTGACACTAATTGACCATTAGACTTATAAAACACTATACAGTGGCATTCAAAAGTATTGCCACTGAAACGAAAAAAAAAAACAAAAAAAGGTAAATTTTTAGTAATACAACGTAGATATAAAATTCGGTACTGTTAATAAATTTCGCTTAACGTTATAAAGTAACTATTTATATTATTCTTCGTTATAACAAACTCTTTGTTAATAGGTTGGTTCCTTCATAAATTAGATAAACAAGCCTGAGCTCATTGATTAATGATAACAAAATCAACAAATAATTCATCTTTATAAATAGATAGTAATGATGTTTTTCTGATACTATCGATTTCATTTTGGATAATTGATTTCATTCTTAAAGCTATATCTTTCAATTCTTCATTTTCAGAAGAGAACATTCGTCGAACGATTATTGATATTCTTTCGTGAGTTTTTAATCCTCAAATTTATTATAGAAATGTTATATTATCAAATGATATTTAAAAATTACGTAGATGTAAACGCCTGTTAAAAAACTGTCGCTATGGATGTGAATCAGGAAGTTTCGAAACCCATTACGTATCGTTATCTACGTATGTGTACACGTAAGTATAAGCCAGAAATTACCGATATCGACATTATCTAACGCTAAATATAATAGTGTTGTTAATGGGGCGGAGTGAATTGAATTGGGCCCATATTATAGGGTCAATCAAATTTAACCTACTCCGAGTTCGTTGTTTTAGGTTTTGTCCAATAGCGATAGCTGCTCCAGATACTCTGGAGTATTTATAAAAGTCATGTAATTAATTTATTTGGATTAAATCTAAATATACGATACTTTTATTTAGGAGCAGCATTCTCCGGGGTTAGTTCATGTGAAATTATTGAAGTTGAACCACCACTTCATCTTATTAATCTTGCGGTATGTTCTGTTAATGTTTCTTTCTATAATACTCTCGGACTCATTCTCAGTAGGTTCATATCTAATAAAACTCGTTCATTTAAAGTAGATATTTTACGTTTGTGAGACATTTTCAATAAATAAAATTATATAAAAAAATTTGCATAACTTTAAATCAATTAAAACACCGTATTGCACATTCATTCCATAATACTTATTAACGAATAGGACGTTTAGGACAATATCAAAATACATGTACTATATTTTCGAATCTGATTTACTACCTGGGAGAAACAGAGATTTCGCGTCATTTGACTTTTGCATCGGCTATTTTTAAAATAGAACACTCTAGCTCCAGTGGAGCAAGAGTGTCACATGAAGTGGCTTGGGTATAATTATTACTCCGGAGCGGAGTAAAATTTAGAAATCATATAGTAATCCGGAGCTAACGCGGAGTATGCTGCTCCAATAACAACCCTACATGTACCGGTATATTGTATAAGCATTATTTTCTTTCGAACTTGCATTCTTTTTTTTAACACACACTACGTATCGGTATAGAGATATAGTACTTTAATAATATAAACCAGTATTTGCGCTCGATAATTCAACTTTATAATTAATTTGTGATAATTTACTACAATAATTTCAGTGTTTTATTTAAAATTTGAAATGATGGTAAAATAAACAAAGATATCAACAGTCTGATAAAGCATACGCGGAGATTGGAATATCCATCTTTCGAATGGATTCTTTTTGAAAGATTTACTAACGTTAATGTTGAATGTCTTGTAAAGGAGACATGTTATAAAACATCGTTCACAGATACGAGTGGGATTACAGAGAGAGTATATTTAATAACTAAAAACCCAGTACAGTCAACCCTCGTTATTATGACATCCTCCGGTTCCTTAAATAACTTTTGTTCTTATTGACATAATAACGAAATTATATTATGACATTATAAGAAATTCAAAAACAATTTTGTCATTATAACGAGGTTTGACTGTACGAATAAATGTATGAGTACAAAAATGGCTATTTACACAAATATATTACGAGCAGTTTACGGTAGTAAGAGTAAGTAACAATAACAATTTCTCAGGCGAACGTGAAAAACGAAAATTAATATAACACGGTGAATAAACTATATTAAGTTAATAAACTATAGAAACCGCTTTTTGGCCATTGCGCAATGGACAAGTAGTCACCAATAAAGAACAGCGTTCTTCTTATTTGGTTAAAAATGAATTTGTTATTAATCGAAAAGGTTTTTTTTTACATTTTGTCGATATACCGAGTATTCTAATTTTTGCTGAAAGATTTGGCCTGAAAGTTTAGTATGTGTAATGATGTTTGATATATACGTACGTACATGTATACAGCATACACACACATGTACGTATACAGTATTCACGGATATATAACTTTTCTCTTGATATTAATTTATAGAATTGCATGAATTTTATTGTAGATTTGTACATGTAACAAGCAATGGTTAAAAGGAAATAAGATAAAATAAAAAAAATCCAATCCGCTCAAGACATAAATATTAAATATTTTTGCTCATTATCATAAGAATTGAAACAAGTTAAATGATTTTCAAACAAATTTATCCGATTATAATCTCACTTGTTATTTAAATTTCAAATTTGCTAAAACTTCTACATGACCACTATTCTGAGATTTCTTTGCAATTTTATGTCCCAAAGAAAGCTTAACGTTGAAGATTTAATTGGAGTAAACGGCGACGAAACCCATCCTAGATTTTGTCCAAAACTTCAGCTTCGCATCCAAAGAGATTCTAAGTAAATCTCAGACTCAATATCGATATTTCCCATGCATTTTCCTCGATATAAATTGAGTGATTTCAAGATAATGTTCTAACTCGTTGATCTTACTTTTTTTTGAATTCTTTTAGTGACAGCAATTTCGGAATTTCTATCATTACGTCGGTATGAATACATGGCCGTTACGATCGATAAAATACTCGTTCCTGTTTTTTGACTTTAGATTTTTATGCGAATATTGTGCCAGTAAAGTATCTGGGTGAGTAGTCAATGTGTATCGTAAAGTCTCATACTAGTAAAATAATTGATAGGATACTGCTTTTGCATCGCAAAATTAAATGAACAACATCCACCGACGTTCAGAACAATAATTTGTTCCATCGTTACCATCAACGTTTTATTCGATCTATTTTCATGTGAAATACTTTTGATAATGTAATAAAAATTAAAAATACTTATAACTGTACCTGAGAACACTTTATTTTGTCTTCAAAAAAATTATAAAATATATTGAAACTTGTGAATAAACTAAAGACAAAATATATCATCAGTTATCGATAAGGAGTAAGGTTAATAAAAATAACTTACCTTTATTTATATTAAATTAGCAACAATATTTGTGTGTAAAAGTAATGATTTTAATTATTTATAATCGATAGATACACTCCAAAGTTATCTTTACATAGATAAAGCTATTGGTGGTAATCGTTTTTAACTATTACGACATATGTAAAAGGTAATTATGATATTTTTCATAATATACTACGACAGGCAACTTTAAATAAAGACAAATATATCTACGCCATAATTGAGAAATAAGTTTCCAAATTTTTTTCGATATCTCTCGGATCCTATATTGGCTTCTAAATATGAAATTGCATTAATAAATTGATAATATAAAAGTGAAAAATTCAGAAATTATTGCCACATTAAGTTCATCTTTTGAATATTTAGATTTTCTATTAGCCTCACCGACAAAAGTAAGAAAATACGAAAATGGACTTGGAAAAAGATTTTTATTATTTCCTGAATTCAACATATAACTTGAAAAATATTTTCATTTGTTTTTTTTTGTAACTTGATATTCGCTTTAAATGCGACCTCTGGTTGAATAGCGAATTTAAACCAAAACTGTCAATTTCGTATGGAAAAAGAAGGAAGGGAAAAGCTTTATTGATCGGGTTTACTATAATTAACTTTGAATTAGAAATCGAATCAGTAAATTTATTGCTATTCAAATTAGTTTTTATTTAAAATCCATTTTTTTTAATATCAAAAATTTCAACTAGAACATTTTACGCTTTTTACGATCAAAGTCTTATTACTTTATAACATATTACTGTTCTGTTTATTGCTCTTTTTCTCATCTAATGAGTTTTGATTTGTAAGATAACATTTAGTTTATTTATGGTTCTATCAAGTTATTTTAATTACTGAAACTTGCTAAGCTCACCGATGTTTAAATTAAAATAGAGGTTAGAGTATTGGCTCACCATCTGTGAGCTTTAGCGATAACACAATCTGGAAAAAAACAAAAAGAACAGCAATTGGAATCCAGTGGTTTTATGAGATATTAAATTGCTGCATTGAAAAAAGTCAAATTCTAATGTTATTATTACTTGTACTAGAGGATTGAATCACAGGAACAATTTTTAGTTTTCATTTTTAAACTCAAATCATACTGTATAATGAAAATAATGCATTCAATCACTGTTTACAATCTACTGTACGTATACATGTACATAGCAAATTTAGTGCGGGAATCTGGCATTTACATGTACATGTACTAATTTCACCTCCAAGTTCTGATTGGATGCACGTAATTTCTATCGCCGATTGGTTGACTATACACGGATTTTCTAGATTAACCAATAAAATGAATAAATTTTGATCAAGCCAGCAAACATATCCGACACAAGAAAATTAAAAAGCAAATATACGGAAAACGAATGTTTCAATCTGACTTGAAGCACTAAACAGAAATGTCACGGAGGAAATTTTCCATATAATATTATCCTTGACTCCAACCCTAGCCATAACGCTAAAATTAACCTTTAATATCCTCAACCAATCAGTACTTGGATGGAAATTAGTATGATGCATAAAATCTAAAGTCATCAAACGCTTGTATTTTATAAAATGTATAAACTTATTTACTAAGGAGTAAATACAAAATTTAATCCGTGAATATGCTCAGAAAAGGCCTATTCTATCATATTCACGGATTGAATTTTGTATTTACATTTTATAAAATACAAACGTTTGATAACTTTAGATTTTAGGCACCATAAATCAGGGAATCTGCAGATGCCCTGTAGTTAAATATGTTTTAACATGAAAAGAAATTTTACCAGTGTAGAGTCGTATTTTTCTTCTACAAGATGAAAATATTACTTAAATTAGAAGTACTGATTAAATTCAAATTAAGAATTGACATTATTCTTAATACATATGTAATAAAGTTAAATTGAATAGCCAATCTGTATAAATCAATTACATACAGTGAGTTCGTTATGTAAATTTACTATAATACTAATATTTTTATAGAAGCAAAATATATATAGATAAAGTGCTAGATTTCTAGCAATTAAAAAAATAAAAATATGATGAATTTGCAAAAATCTAATAGAAGCACATCACGACAAGTTAATTTCCTGATTGCAGGTTTGCAAAACTTATTTTCTCAGTAATGAATATGATCAGAATTTCTTATTCTAGTCTATTAAATCTATCTCAATAAGATAAATATTTTGGTAATAATATCATTTTAATTAGAATAATATTTATCAAATTATTGCAATTTTAAGTTTTTTAGTTAAAAAATGTTCAATTTACAAATTTTTTAGATCATTAAATTTTATTCAAACTTGTCTTGACACGAAAAGAGATCAACAAAAAAATAAATAAGTATTTGTTTGGACTCTTAATAAGCATTTTAACCAACCTTCCAATAAATAAGTAATGATAGATCCTTAAAAAAAACATGACAAGAATCTAAAAGAGAACTTGAAGAAAAGAAATACTTTAAAGAAATTCGAGGTTAATAAAACACGTGCCACAATGAGTGAGTGCAATGTCTTTTTATAAGTAAATTACGTTCATATGGTACATAAAATCTAAAATCATCAAACGTTTGTATTTTATAAAATGTATAAACTTCTTTACTAAGAATACAAATTTAATCCGTGAATATACACAGAAAAGGCCTGTTCTAACATATTCACGGATTAGATTTTGTATTTACTTATTAGTAAAGAAATTTATACATTTATAAAATACAAACGTTTGTTGACTTTAGATTTTATGCACCATACATAATATTATTTTGTTTAATTCTAGAGAAATTAATGGAACATCTCAAGTTTACTGATCCTGACCCGAACTCTAGTTATATCACACCGGTGTTTAGTATAAGCTGATGCATTCATATTATCATGCATTTATTTACTCATTTACGTGTTTATATGTCTGTAAAACACACGTTAAAGTGACTTTTTACAGACTTATCAGATTATTTGTGTATTTTCTTATTTTTTACAGACATATATCGAAATATACAGGCGTGTTCAAAAGTTAAGACACAAAATACAACTGATGAATAAAAGTTCAAGTTATTGAACTAAAATATATAATTATTCGCATCAAAGTTGAATTTATAATTAGCTAAGTTAACATATAGAATTTCTCATATTATAAAATAAACTTATTTCTGCACCACTTGATACATCTCATAATCTGTAATGTTAAAATATATTCGCTGTTCATCAGAGCTCAATAGATCATAGTTGTAGGAGAATTTATTACAGTAATTATTATTAAAAGTATTAAAAATCAGAATTATTAAAATCAAAACTATACAGAACTAAATTATGATTATCTCCAAAAATTGAACACAAAGTGCATAGCACTTTAAACTATGTTCTTGTTTATATTTGCTTAGAACTCTATTGGTAGCTTGAATGTTATCAAAATTAAATCTAAATAACAAGCTATTTAATAAATTTGAATAGCTTTCCAAGAGAATTCCATTCAAATAAATTATAATCTCTTTCTGATCTTTTACATATATGAAAACAACTTTTGAATCTTTATTGTCATATAAATAATAAAAATCAGTATATTTAAGCCATTATGATTATCTTGTAATAATTATTGAACTTGAATTAACTCATTTTAACTCAAATCAAGTTGAATTATAATTTGAAGTATACTCAAGTTAAAATATAATTCAAAATATGAGTTAACTCGAGTCAGATAATTCAACTCAAGTAATTTACAGTGATTTACATATAATAGAATATAAAATTAACTTACTGAATTTTTATTTCTATGATTATTAGTTTGAACAAAATAAAAAAAGTGTTTATTTGAAATCTTGAAACTACTAATATTTTTTAAAAATAATTTAGCAACAGATTATTTTGTTGAATAAATTAAAATTTATAATTAGTAGATTTCTTATATTAAAAAACTTTTTTCTATAATGAATTCAAATTTAAATTACTAATTAAAAATATTCTATTCTATAAATCTATTTATTTACTAATTTTTATAAAAAATTTGAGACTCTAAAGAATTGAATCTATATTATGAGTATTAATTCATATATTAATATTTTTAATATAAATTTGTTTCTTTAGAGTCTTAAATTTTAATGAATTTTTTATAAAAATTGATAAATAAATAGATTTTATAAAGTAAAATATTTTTAATTAGTAATTCAAATTTGAATTTGTTATAGAAAAAAAGTTCTTTAATATAAGAAATCTATTAATTATAAATTTTAATTTAAATTATTTTAAAAAATATTAATGATCTCAAAATTTTAAATGAACACTTTTTTATTTTGTTTAAACTAATAATCATGAAAATAATAATTCTAGTAAGTTAATTTTTGTGTTCTGTTATATATGTAAGTCATTATATAACTTGAGTCAAACTTGACTCAAGTTAGAGTAATCACTTGAATCAAAATATCACAAACTTGAGTCAAAAAAATTATAATTTAAGTCAAGTTTAACTTGAATCAACTTGAGTTAGTTCAAATATAAGTTCAATTACTATATAATTATACTTATATTTATTATATACTATTGGATACTCAACTAATTTGTTATAAAATATTAGTATTATATTATTATAAAACTATTCATAAAGTAAATAAATAATAAAGTTATATTTATTAATAATAGTATTATTATAATAGTAATATAAATATTACAAATTTCAAAAATAATTAAAAATATAAAAATATTCATATTATAATAATATTATTTCACTTTTTTATTATTTTACTTTTTAATTATTTTATTTTTTCAATATTTTACTTTTATATATATTATTTTATTTTCTAATTATTTTACTTTTTTAATTTTTTATTTTTATATATATTATTTCACTTTTTAATTATTTTACTTTTACAATTTTTTATTTTTATATATATTATTTCACTTTATAATTATTTTACTTTTTCAATTTTTTATTTTTATATATATTATTTCACTTTTATTTATTTTACTTTTTTAATTTTTCACTTTTATATATATTATTTCACTTTTTAGTTATTTCACTTTTATATATTATTTTATTTTCATATAATTAATTATTTTATTTTTATCTATTTAATTTACTTTTTATATTTTCAAAAAATATATAAATAGAAATGCTATCTGAGCCTTAACTCAACATGTTGTAACTAAAAATAAAAATCTCTCTTAACAAAAATCTTCTTTCAAATACTTCTTGCCTCTTATATTTTCTTTATACATTTCAAATCTTGTGTATAAGTAATCTTATATTGTATTGAACTTAACAAATTGCTAACAGCTTTATATCATATTCACTAAGCAAATTGCTGTTATTAATTTTGGGCTTTATATTGTATTGTACTGAACAAATTACTGTTATTGGATTATTGAGCTTTATATTATATTGTGCTGAAAAAATTGCTGTATTAGAATTATTGAAATTGGATTTATAAGTATTTTACTTTTTATTATTTGAATTTTTAATTGTTAATGAATATTTCTTACTTGTGAAAAGAACAAAGTGAAAGAATTTTTGTTATTGTTATTACTAATTATATTACCTTAGTTCTAGAAAGCTTTATGCAAGTATAGAATTACTTTTAGAATTCCCTTTATTATTCTCTCTCCTCTTTGATCTTTACTCTCTTCCACATTATTATTTCTTTTTAAGTAAACACAATTTCTGTAGAAATTGGCATAGACCTTAGATATCCCTCTTTTCTTTTAATATTTTCATTATCAGTTTATATCCTCTCCCAACTCAGGTTCTTGTTTGTAAGCTAATTTCACAATTAGTGAACAAACTTGTAACAATAGGTTGTTATTTTGCAAATAAAGATCATTTAAAAAATTCTCGCGTAATTTCATCAAAATTTGCCATATTTTATGGTGATTTTTTGATAATTAATTTTTATATTTATTTAACACAAAGATTTAAAATGGTCGAATAACATATCGATATTAATCTTTAACAAAGCCATAATCAACATTTTGACCTATAGAATCAATTATTTTTCTATTCTGTTTGTTTTGTTCATACATAATCGATTAAATAAAATTTTTTGGTATGGTGCAGGAACTCTTAAATCGACAATATGTTTCCATGTTGAAAATTCCATCAACTTCTTAACTCGAAAGTAAATCCAAAATTTGACTGGCAGTATTATCAAGTAAGTCCTCTTCTATAACATCAATGGTTAAATTTTGGATTTACTTCTGAGTTAAGAAGTTGATGGAATTTTCAACGTGAAACATATTGATTTAAGAGTTCCTGTATCATAATACATGTAACAAAGTTGCAAATTCCCATTGATTCACCCCCTGACCGGCAATAATTCATCATGATCTGCAATATTTAAAAAACCCTATAGCCAATTAAATCGCAAGATCAAAAATAAACAAAACAAATGCTTATTTTTTAAATAGCTTATACATGTACGCATATAAATCATCTCGTGACAACGAAAATTTGCCGGTATTACTGGTACGTAGTTACTCACCAGACATGGACATAGTCATTATGTTATGTAGGTAAAGCAATTTCTTGGCAAGTGAGAAAGCTGGTTTAATAATTAAAAAATCTTGCATTTATTCGAACCAAACGTTGATGGCAACGATGTCGGGGGATGTTGTTCATTTAATTTTGCGATTTTACGATCCACACTGACGATCGCCAAAAAAAGCATTTTTAAAGTCAAAAACACGAACGAGTATTTTATCGATCGTAATGGCCATGTATTAATGATAGAAATTCAGAAATCACTGTCACTGCAAGGATTCAAATAAAAACATTATCCTCAGATCACTCGACTCTTTTGTCTTTTATATCGAGGAAAAGGCATGAGTGATATCGATATTGAGTCTGAGATTTGACTTAGAATCTCGCCGGATGCGGAGCTAAGATTTGGACAAAAATAAAGTGCGACGAAATCTCCGAATAATGATAACGATAAAATTGACACGACTTTGAGTTTAACTAAAAAGTCATTAACTTGTTTCAATGCTTAGGTTAATGAGTAAACTATTTAATTTTAATTTATTGTTTAGGTATTGCGAATACAATTCTATAAATTAATATCAAATGAAAAAATGACCTTTCAGGCCAAAATCTTTCAGCAAAAATTATTATTATGATATTCGGCATGACAAAATATCTTTTCGATTAAGAACAAATTCATGATGAAACGCTTTCAACAAAATCAAGAAGAACGCTGCTCTTTGTTAGAAGAAACTTAAAAATTTTTGTCCATTGTACAATGGCCAAAAGCGGCTCTATTTTTATTAAAACACATTGAGTTACATTGATCAAAATTCATTTATTTTATCTTGAATTGTTAATATAATTTATTCAAATCTGTAGTTTATATTGATTTTTGTTTTTCGCGTACGTTTGAGAAATTGTTATCGTTTACTTACTATGTTTGTTGATTCATGCAATATTTATAGCATATTTATAACGTGTTTCATCCTCATTACGTCTACAACATACTTTTGTTACATTGTGTGTATGGCTTCCTATTAATATCTCTGGAATGATATAAGGAAACACTCAGTAACTTTTTCATCTGCTAGGCCGGTAATCCCAAAATTAGCAATGAGAAGTATCAATACGTATATTTCCAGAATGAAAGTCATAATGCTCACGCTCTCCGATAATATAAATTGAATGACTCAATTGTTTTCTTCAAGTCAATTCTTCGTAATATATTTGTTAATAGCCATTTTTATACCCATTACATTAAGTATACATTCGTACTAGGTGGGGTTTTAGTTGTTCTATACTTATTCCAAAGTAAGATCACTGAACTTCAGAGCAGTCCGAATCTATTTTGAAAAGCTTAAAATAACGCACTTTTTTAGAATATCGATATCTACGTACATCAATTGATCTATCGATATCGATATGCGTACATGTACAGGTACTCGAAAAAGGATTTATAACAGATATCTAACGCTAATCTTCATTCGATAATACGTATATCGATGTTAATATGAACTTCTACAATGAAAATCAAAGACAACGATGAATTTGATGATTCAAAATTCCACGAAGGATTATCAATAATCATTCGACGAATACTTTCTTCCGAAAATAAAGAATTGAAAGATATAGCTTTAAAAATGAAATAAATTATCCAAAATGAAATTGATAGCACCAGAAAAACATCATTACTATCTATTTATAAATATGAATTATTTGTCGATTTTGTTATCAATATGAAATAGCATTAATCAAAGAGCCTAGGCTTATTTATCTTATTTATGAAGAGTTATGTACCAAAAAGAATAGTTCTTCAAAAATTCTTTTGGAACCTTTTAAACAATTTGAAAAAAAATAGAATGAAAAAAGATCGTGGAATATTTGATTGGCATTTGAAATTAGGTGAAAACGAAGATATCCAAATACAGCGCATTCTTGGTTTCTGTTATCGAAATGGTGTAGGAACACAAAAAGATAAGAAAAAAGCATTTGTGTGGTATTTGAAATCAGCAGAGTGGAGATGTTACTGCACAATTTAATCTTGGTTGGTGTTATCAAAATGGAATCGGAACACGAAAAAAGCATTTGTGTGGTATTTGAAATCAGCAGAGGGTGGCGATGCTAGTGGACAATTTAATCTTGGTTGGTGTTATCGAAATGGAATCGGAACACAAAAAGATGAGAAAAAAGCATTTGAGTGGTATTTGAAATCAGCAGAGGGTGGTAATGCTGGTGGACAATTTAATCTTGGTTGTTGTTATGACAATGGAATCGGAACACAAAAAGATGAGAAAAAAGCATTTGAGTGGTATTTGAAATCAGCAGAGAGTGATAATGCTGGTGGACAATTTAATCTTGGTGGTTGTTATGACAATGGAATCGGAACACAAAAAGATAAGAAAAAAGCATTTGTGTGGTATTTGAAATCAGCAGAGGGTGGTGATGCTACTGGACAATTTAATCTTGGTTGGTGTTATCAAAATGGAATCGGAACACAAAAAGATGAGAAAAAGCATTTGTGTGGTATTTGGAATCAGCAGAGCGTGGTGATGCTACTGCACAATTTAATCTTGGCTGGTGTTATCGAAATGGAATCGGAACACAAAAAGATAAGAAAAAAGCATTAGAGTGGTATTTTAAATCAGCAGAGAGTGGTGATGCTACTGCACAATTTAATCTTGGTTGGTGTTATCAAAATGGAATCGGAATACAAAAAGATGAGAAAAAAGCATTTGTGTGGTATTTGAAATCAGCAGAGGGTGAAGATGCTACTGGACAAGCTAATCTTGGTTGGTTTATCGAAATGGTATAGGAACACAACGAGATGAAAAAAAGGCATTTGAATTATTTTTAGAATTATCTAAGGTTACAATTACCGGAGTACTCGATCTTGGTAGATGTTACTATCACAGCGAGGGAACTAATAGATATTTACAGAAAGCATTTTCGTGTTTCCAAACATCGGCAGAGTCAGAAAACTTTGATGCTCGCAATGCTCAGCATTTTCTTGCAGAATGCTATTTTCAAGGAAATGGAACAAACAGAAACGAGAAAAAAGCATTTGAATGGTATTTAAGATCCGCTGAATCTGGGCTGAATATCTCTCAATTCAAATTGGCTGAATGTTACCAATACGGTTTCGGAATTCCAATTGATCTTAATTTAGCATTAAAATGGTATCAAAAAGCGCATGTAAATGTTCACGATCGAGCAGGAGAGCTGGTTGAATATTTTGATTTTGAAAAAATATATTCGTGTTTTTAAATTTTTAGTTAAAAAAGCTGCTCATATTATTTTTTCATTTTCTTAATCACGAAAATTTTACCAGAAACCTTTCGAGCAACATTTAGTCAGCATATATCAAATTCAATATTCAATAGAAAAATTCAATAAGATGTTCTTTATGCAATTATTAAATATTTTCATCCAAATCCACTTACATATAAACATAGAACATCAATCTGAGTTTTTTTCATTAGTTACAGTGTTATTGACTTACTACTTATATCCAGGTCATTTTGTCTATGCATTTGTATTTTAGTTATAAATTTTTAGACAGTGATCACAAAAACTTGAAATTTTAGTATAACATACTTCAAACCATTTTAAAGTAAAGCTTAAAATATAAAATTATAATTTTTCATTAATTTTTGCACTATCAATAAAGTTGCAGTGATATACTTTTTTCATGCAAATTATTGGTTTTTTTGAAATATTATGTTGTAGCTGTAACTTTTGAGTGAATGAGTAAAAAGATTTAAAAATCTAGTATAACATATTTCAGAATATGCTTAGAACACTAGTACAAGTTTTTTCATTAGTTCCCCCACTATTATTTCAAGAAAAAAGTGTTCAGTGACTTTATTCCACCATGTATCACGTCCGTTTACGGAATTGTCATCTTTTACTTGCTATCATCTCATACACATGGACAAAATAAACGGTAATAATATATCTCTGTCCCGTAAAATTTTTCATAACGTCTACAACATGCATTTGCTGTATTAAAAGAGATCCTTATTATTTACTCGTAACAATAGATGTCATAAAAGGCTTCTTTTTTATGCGCTCTGTCATAGAAATCGATGTTGCTCTTCTTTTAACACGCACAGATGGAAGTCAAACTAACGATATCAACGATAAATGCCTCGTACCATTTACGAGTATCTCATTTACATGTACATGTTTCACGCATAATGATAAATCGATTTACGGAAGCGAATGATATCGATATACGTTTTTTAAACAACACTGCCACTTAATAAAATAAACTCGAATGGCACCTAAAATAAATTTCGAATACTCATGATAGTAGTAAATGTTACGATTGTAAACACTATCACTATAAATACTGCGATGAGTGTTCAGTTCACAATATTCATGATTGTAGTAAAGGTTACGATTGTTAAAAAAGTAATTTACTGCTATGGATGTTTCTGTCTGTATCACAAACGAATTTAGGCAGCTGAATGGTCTAGCGAATCGACTGTCTACTAATGAATGCGACAAAATTGCTGGTGAAAATCGCAGTTCATTCGATCAATTTATAAAGCAACTTGGTTGGACGGACCATCGAATAAGTACCCTAAATGGGATCATGTAGAAAATAAATTTGAACGAGATGGAGAAACCAACGTTGTGTTGAAATCATTACACAATTCAAAGCAAATTACATAAACGAGGTAAAATGAAGGTGTAAGTAGTGATGGGCTGAACTATACTATACGCACATATATGCGTACGCATAGTTAACAATCAATATTCTTCGTTGAGTACGAGAGTATAAATAATAGTTAACTTACATAGATACATGATCGTCAATATTATTATTCATATTTCCTCGAAGTGCTATATGGAAACATTTTAAACAATTGGTCATGTTGCAACAACGAACGGAATGTAGTGAGCAAGAACTTGATCAGATAATAGTGATAATAATAGTGATAGTTGTTAAATATGTATGATATGATATGAACATTAATTTACTATTTTAGGTAATTATATGTATGTACTATATTACTATATAAATACTATTGTTATACATGTACATACATGCAATCGAATCGCTATACTTGTTCAGTATGTACATGTATAGCGATAGAACATGTATTTGACTATATCGATATGCGTACGTATTGCCATCTCTCTAAATATATAAGATCTGACTCCGCCCACCAAATGGTCGTTCACCTGTGGCAACCTTGTATTAGTCACCCCAAAACTACAAATATCTGCAGCTTTAGACCAAATAAAAAATTGGTGTCATATACATGTATAACGAACGGGTCTTTGTGTTAACATGCATCTAATCATAAACATAATCCAAGTCACATAGTAAATCTCAATAATTTAATTGATCATTGTAAAATCAATCCTAATTAATGTAAATTTAACAAAATCGATAGATAGATATAATATAAAACCTTACAAATCTTATATTCAGATAATCAATTGGAACATCAGTTTGGAATAGTCTTTGAAATCGAGTTTTCTTTCGTCGTTAATGTTACCGTTACTGGTATAAAGAGAATCGATTATCGAGTCAATCCGGATTTCAAATTTTACTACGAAACGTGTAATTGCCAACCTTAGCGAAATTCCCTCAAAATTTGAAAATAAATTATGTGCCCATTCATTGTCTCAAGCAAAAATGACGCATCATGCGCGATGATAATCAATTTGAACACTAATGATTTGATTCATTAACGGAGGAATTGTTTGTTATATGATAGCCTTTTGACTCGGTGGCTCAAAAAAATGGTACGAATGGAGAGAATTGATCACTGAGTCAAATTTTATTACGTGTAGTTATTCTAATGAGCTAAATATGCCGCCTTGCCAAAAAAAAATAAACTAACGCTAAATTTTGCGTCAATTATGCTTGTGCTAGGATAGGAATCGATTCTGAGAATCGATTTTAAAGACAAAATCGATTAATAACGATTGGAAATCATGATTTTTGCTTGTGAAAAACATGGCAAATGTTACATCGCACGGCACGACAAACTACTTGTTATTCAACAAAAATGTTAATATTGATAATAACCAAGAAAATATTGCCAAGAGTTTAATCTGATAGTGATACAGTAATTGATATTGATCCAAACTTTAATGATATTTGTGAAACAACAGAAAATACACGGATACAGAATCTCAATCCGATGACAATACTTCAATTGTCTCTATACTATCTTTACCACATATATAGTATCTTTACGAATTCAACTAATCAAAGTACAACTTCAAAAATTCCAACGAAAAGGAGAAACATTGATATGCAATTAAAAACAAAACCAAAGTCCAGTTATGTCATCGCCGTCGTCGTCGTTATTGCTGTTGTCGTCATCATCGTCGTCGTAATAATGCTCGAGAATCGATTCCTATGCCTAGTTTGTGTATCTTGATGAAAAATTTGCTTAAATTACACACATTATAAAAACACAGCGAAATTCCCTCATTTTAAGCAGATTGGCTCCGAAAAGGAGTTAGCAGGGAAATCAAAAACGCTTTCCACGAGTGTCAATTCATTATCTCATACAGTGTACACTAAATACCTGATCAAAGACAAAAAGTAAAAATGGCGCATCGCACATAAAAGTATATTACATGTTTTAATCTATAATGATACGCATTATCTAAAATTAGAATGTAGACAATCAATTTAAAGAAAAAGTTGTGTGGAATCGTGATTTTCTTATGAAAATAAAACGTTATCGTTATCATCTCTAATGATTTATTCGAAATAAAAATATCGTGTAAAAAACCCATCTTGAAATCGAAACATTATTCGTCTTTTGAAATCGACAGCTATGAAGCTAAATATGTTAGCTTAATGGATTATTGTTTCTCATTGTCATCATATAATGGCTTATATCAATTCATAGTCATAAAGACCACATGTTTCTTTCGTAGCTTTTTAGACAGTATGTTTGGATTAACTATGAACTTGACTTACGCATTCAACAATGTGATTGTATTGTACTTTATTCTATTTCAACAATGGTTTTGCTAAGTTATATGTCATCATTGCTAAAGTTTATATTAATCTATAGTCATAAATACATGTAAATTTATTACATGAATAAAATTGACTATGAATTTGACTCTTGGACAATGACTTTGCTAAATTTTATATCCATTCATAGTTATGTACTTTTATAGTTGTAAAGTCAGGCGCTTTTTAGACAGTATCGGTATAGTTGGATTTGGATTAACTATGAGCTTAACGTTCAACAATGATATCGCAAGACTTTATATAATCAGCATTTGTGTTACTCTTCACGTGGTAAAAATTTCAGCTATGGTGCATGTTTGTATTTTATAAAATGGATAAACTTCTTTACTAAGAAATAAATACAAAATTTAATCCGTAAATATGCGGTATATTCCATCATATTTACGGATTAAATTTTGTATTTACTTCTTAGTAAAGAAGTTTATCCATTTTATAAAATACAAACGTTTGATGGTATGCACCATAATTTTAATAAATTAGAAGGGGTCTGTTACTTGGTGTATAAAAGTGCCGTCATAAGATTATATTAGAGGTAACGAACAATTAAGGTATGAAGCAGTACCCTAAAATTATGCATTTATTTATATATCATTTTATATAAATGCGTTACTTTAGGATACTTTTACCCAAAGCTATTTTATATTGCAAAAATTTTATTACAAGCCACTGTATTTTTTACTATTAATTTTACAATATAACATCTGAAATCGAGTGTCCCTATTATCATTCATCTGGTTTATATAGTAAAAGAGAGAATTAGAACTACGAAAAAAAAGTATCTCTATGTAACGTACTCATTTGAAATAAATAAAATAAACTCTAAATATTCGATGACAAATAGCGCGTTTTTGCTTGCTAATTGCGTGCTTGCAGTTTAAATGAGAAAGAACCATTGTGAGAGAATAACTGTATCAGACAGATATATTATTTATTAACTGTTACTATTTTAAAGCGTAGAACTTCTATGATTTATGTAAAACCTCTATATATGAACATCTATATTTAGGAACACTTAGTTTGTAAATTATTATGAGCTTATGAAAAGGTTTGACTGCCTATACATATTAATACATAATATCGAGAGAAGATATATAATATATCGCCACCCTGGAAAATTATTTTAATTTTTCAATCTTCACAAATCCAACATAACAAAAACAAAAATGGATAACTACATACAAAACAATATCGTGAAAGCGAAAATTGAATTATCAGGTCTTAGTTGTTCTAGTTGTGTTCGATCAATCGAGCAAAATTTAGAGAAATTGCCAGGAGTCTTGAAGATATATGTAAATTTGTTGATGAGTAATGCTACTTTGGAATTTGATCAGACACAGATTACAATCGATCGAATTACTCAAACTATTCGAGATGCTGGGTATACAGTTGAACATGTTAACATCGGCAACAACAATAATGACCGTTCTAGTTTTACGTCAATTAGACAACAAGGCTCATTAATATCTGAATCTCTATCAAACTTTGAGGATATATCTAAAGAAATTTTAAAAAAATCCTCTGATGATACAATGGTAGAAGAGTATAACAATATAAATTCAAAATGCGCTCTGCTTCCACCACCATTAACATCAACAAATTCAACGCGTGCAATGGCAACCGCACGATTAGAAATTACAGGAATGACGTGTGCATCATGTGTTAGTTCAGTACAAACAGCAATAGAAGGCTTGGACGGAGTGGGAATTACGCAAGTGAATTTACTCACCAATGAAGCAACGGTAAAATATAACCCAGATATAATTGGTACGCGTAATTTAGTTGAAGCAGTCACCGAAGTTGGGTTTGAAGCTAAACTAATACTGTCGACCACAAAAAATAAGAATCCCGGAAATACGATACGAGAACGTGCAGAAAAAGAGCAACGACGATTAAAAGAGCGATTTATCCTGTCACTTTGGTTCGCTATACCCACTTTCATAATTTCAATGATATTTATGACTGCTCTGCCAACCTCCAATGAAGTACGCATGGCATTTATGAAACAAATCATACCGGGATTAGAAGTGGGAACATTAATACTTTTCTTATTGGCAACACCTGTTCAATTCTATCTCGGTGGTCCATTTTATGTGAAAGCATGGAAATCATTATATTATGCGCGGATTGCAAATATGGATACACTGGTGACAATCGGTACGACAATCGCGTATGTCGGATCAATTGTGAATGTTGTTGTCCCGGTAGCATATAAGGATGATCGACCAAGGCAACAATTCTTCGAAACTAGTGTTTTATTATTCACGTTTATTTTGCTGGGAAGATGGATGGAAGCAAAAGCAAAGGGAAAAACATTCGAAACTATAACGAAATTAATGGAATTACTACCAGATAAAGCAATTTTGGTGAAATTTGATCAAAATGGAGAATTTGATGATTCGTTTACTGAACATGAAATCGATTCGGATTTAATTCAAAGCAAGTTATTTGATCCATATTATTAGATGGTAATTTAGAGTTGCTTTTAACCAATTTTTTTTACATAATTCTAGTCGATGATATACTTAAAGTGAACGCGGGAGGAAGAATTCCATGCGATGGTTAGCATTAAATTAATTCGAATTCTTGGTTAAGTATGAATTATTATATTGCAATATTTAACCGAATAACCAATTAATTAGGGGAAATATATCGTGGAACAACGACATTAGATGAGTCAATGATAACTGGTGAATCAATCCCAGTATCGAAAGAAATTGGTGATATCGTAATAAGCGCAACAGTAAATCAAACATCAACAATTTGGATAAAAGCAACAAAAGTTGGCACCGATACAACAATATCACGTATAATAACTCTCGTACAAGAAGCACAATCAAGTAAAAAAGCACCGATCGAAGAATTCGCTGATAAAGTATCACACATCTTTGTCCCAGTTGTGATTGCAATAGCAGTGTTTGTGTTCGTAGTGTGGGTTGGATGTGGTGGAACTGGTAGAATCCCAAGTGATTGGTTAGACACAGACCAGAATTATGTGATGTTTTCATTATTTTTTGCTATTTCTGTGATGGTAGTAGCGTGTCCTTGTGCGATGGGTCTTGCTTCACCAACTGCAATCATGGTAGGCACAGGAATAGCAGCAAAACTTGGAATCTTGATAAAAGGAGGAGGAGAAGCGATTGAACTAACAAACAAAATAGATGTGATTGCATTTGATAAAACGGGAACTTTGACTTTTGGTAAACCAAAAGTTATCGACTCGAATTTTTTCTATCCCAAAAAGCCAATGGAAAATGCACGACAATATGAACAATTGATAATCAGGATTGTCGGTTTAGTTGAATCGTCAAGTGATCATCCATTAGCAAAAGCTGTTGCTCAATTTATCATGGAGCAAACCATGGAGCGAAACCTGAATGTTTCATCGTATCTTGAAACAGATAAGCCTGTTCTCGACTTACCATCGAACAACGTGACATTAGATACTGTTACCGAAGTACCTGGTAAAGGACTCGAAGCAAGAGTAAAAGTTGATTTCGCACCTCCGAGTTTATCGGGTTCAAACCACGACACGACTTCATTATATTACGATGTGTTTATCGGAAATGAAAGATGGTTACGTGAACATAATTGCATTTACCCGGCTCAGATAATAAATCAAGAAGCGGAAAATACGCTGTGGAATTGGAAGTTAAGCGGTTCTTCGATCGTGTTAGTTGGATTGAGGAACTCATCGGAAACGAAAGGAGGATTGATATTGGCTCAGCTTGCTGTGGCGGATACACCGAGACCAGATGCAGCGAAAACTGTTGCAGCATTGAAATCACGGGGAATTGATATTTGGATGATTACTGGGGATAATCCGATCACCGCAAAGGCAATTGCAGTACAAGTTGGTATTGAGAATGTGTTGGCAGAAGTATCACCAGAAATGAAAGCGGAACAAGTTAAGTGGCTACAAAGGCGCGGTGCTTCATTTTATGATGAAAGTATTGAAAAAAGTAACCTTAAAGCAAAAGTCTCTAGACAGTTCTGGCGATTCAAAAACTCAGAATCAAAAGACCAACGACGTGCAATTGTCGCAATGATCGGTGACGGGATTAACGATTCACCTGCACTAGCACAATCAGATCTACCGATTTCAATAGCAAGTGCCACTGATGTTGCTATTGAATCATCGTCAATTATCCTTACGAGGTCAACTCTCTCGTCACTTATCACTCTAATCGCATTGTCACATTCCATAATACGCCGTGTTCGATTGAATTTCTTGTGGGCTTACCTTTATAATACATTGGCTATACCAATAGCAGCCGGTGTTTTTTTTCCCGTTTTTCATTTTGCTTTGAGACCTGAAATCGCGGGACTAGCGATGGCCGCGAGCTCTATAAGTGTTGTTTTGAGTAGTTTGTTGTTGAAACGCTTTAAAGAACCTTTAGTGCCCGAAATTAAAACTAGTTCTTATGGTATGGCAGCTTAACTGAACACTGAACTTACAAAGTTTCTAAGTCCAGTGGACCAGTGGCGCAGGTTTTGTACATGTCCAATCGATCCAGTGCATTGGTCCATACATGTAATAAATAATCTTTTCTTTTTTATTCCTTTATAGTAATTTATTACTATAGCATTTGAAAAATTGGAAAAGCTAATTAAAGTTTCATTTTTTTATTTTTTCTTTGTTTTATTTTTCGTGTATATTAAATCGAGTTTGTATACTATAATGAGAAACCTTTCGTCACGACCATTTTGAAAATGTCTGTGACGAATGACGAAACCTTTTGACCAATAAAATACAAGCTAGTAACTCACGATGCTTGACGTAAATACATATTTAAATATCAATAATACTGGCACATGTATTGATTTTCACGAAACCTTTCACTTTGAAAATGTAAGTGTCGAATGACGAATCGCCTGACGAATGACAATTTTGTCAAACTAAACCATAAAAACAATAGGTCAAGTCAAAGCTTTATCAATTTATCGGTTTATTTTTTGCATAATTTTTACCAGAGGTATATATATTTAAAGTTATACATTTTTCTGTTTTCATAATGCTGGCCAAAATTCAGTATAATTTTGATCCTCCATGGCCTTCGGCCAATCAAACACATGTACTAGATTTCTAATGATGCAACATTCTTTTAAATGGATTTGTACATGTGATCTAAGCTATTATAATCATTTTCTTTATTTTTAAATACTGTATTTAGTTACAATTTTTATTGTAAAATTTATCGTTATTTGTTAAACGATGTACTCAGTAAAGCAAACCTTAATTTTATAATTTAATTTCAAAAGCTTCAATTTCGTGATTTGTTAGATATCATGTCTATAATAATAAAAAGATAGCTTAACGTGTCGTGTATATAGAGTTTGGAACAGAATTTGGTCTTCGGATTTAAATCCAATTTTATTCAGTCCGAATTTAAATTCGAATATGAAATTTAATCAATACGAAGACCAGTTTTAATAAACCGGTGATATTCGAATGATGAAAACGGAGGGAGGATTATTTGTACTATAATCTACTGAAGCATAGCGAACTTAAATCGAATTGGTTAATCTTTAGAATTTATCACCGAATATAAATACATGTACATGTACGTACGGTGGCTCACACATATAACGGAACACGAAAATTAACTTTCTAGCATTTTTTATTTCCATGACTATTAATTTGGACAAAATAAAAAAGTGTTCATTTGAAACCCTGAAACCTCTAATATTTTTAAAATAATTTGACAACAGAGTATTTGTGAAATAGAGTGATTTAAATCAAAATTTACAATTAGTAAATTTCTCACATTGAAGAACTTTTTTTCTATGGCGGATCCAAATTTGAACCACTAATTAAAAATGTTCTAAGAGCATTGATTCATGTATTAATGCTCCTAGCATAGATTCAGACTTTAGGATCTTAAATATCTATATAAATTAAGTAGATTTTTATGAAAATTGGTAAATAAGTAGATTTTATAGAGTAGTACATAGAAAAAAAGTTCTTCAATGTGAGAAATTTACTAATTGTAAATTTTGATTTAAATCACTCTATTTCACAAAATA